TAAGACTTCATGTAGATACAGATTTAAGAAGGACTTGAAATTTCATGAAACAAGGAAGGGCTTGATCATGTAACAGCACAAACACCAGGTTTGCTTGTCCCAGGGGAGTGTTGCGTCCCCACCCTCCAATTTCTGCTATGACTCTGCAATGAATTTGCACCAGTGAAAAATCCTGACCGTGCTGATTTACTAGCTCACTAGCACCCAGTCTAGCCGAAGCATGCTACTGTAATACAGGAGGGGAAGGACAAAATAATCCATAAATTCACCTCTTTAGTCTTCACAAATCCTAAGGAGTAGGATGTCCAGCTATTCCTTCGTGCTATTATTCCATAGCCAGAGGACAGCACCTTGTCCCACATGCAGCCTCCAAACCTTTGGCTGGTTCCTCAGGTGCAGCCAGGAGCTGGGGGGTGTGATGGGGTGGGTGTAAATGGGCTCCAAGGGCAGCAGTGGAATGGGCAACAGCTGAGGCTCTGGCCCCAGAATGCTGGCGGCCCACCAGCTTCTCTTCTACCTTACCCCTTACTTTCAACATTTATTCAAGAAAAACTGATTTTATTTAATCAAGACTTACATGTAATTATGTGCTGTCTGTGAAATATGAGGGAAGTTTCATCCATGCATGTGCAGAACAAAACAGGAAAAAAGTTTCAATTCACTAGTGAATGTTTGAGGTGATATTTATACAAGCTTCCATAATTTTGGGAACCTACTCTTATATGACCAGTTGATGGCACTTCTGAAAATGAATGACTACTATTCAGAGCACTCAGTGTTCATATCAAGCAGTTTCTTGATTCAAACTGTTCGGTTTCAGGTTACTAACTCCCACGATACTTGATGTTTCATTTAGAACTGAAGTTCCTAGAGAAACAAATGGTTGTAAGAGAAGCCTTTCTTCTGTGGATCTGTAAAGTAATCTTAAAATATGTGATAATAAAGAAAAGCTTGAAAATGTGGGGTCTCTGTGGGGTTCATCCTAAGGTCACAAACCCCCAGAAAGTAAACAGAACATTTCCAGTATATATATATCTCCAGTGTATACATATATATGTATGTATATATTTCCAGCATATATATATCTCCAGTATTTATATATATCCTCTGTGTGTGTGTGTGTATATATATATAATTTTACATATATATTAAAATCTCAGATAACTTTAAGGTAATTTTGGAGTTTTTGGGGTAATTGAAGATAATAACAAGGTTTTTTGTGTTGGTTAGTTTTTGTTTTGTTTTGGTTTGTTTTTTTTCCCCCTCTGAATACCTATGAGGCGTAATGCTGTATTTATCTCACTTTCATGTGAAATTTATTTATCCACACCCAGTGCATGTTCAGTTTTCCATATATTATCATTGATATGTGAATAAAACAGGCACAGGAAATCAGATTTCTGCTTGCTGGGAACATGAGCTTCAGTCCCTGTCTGGTTTTAGTCTGATGATCACAGTGGGTAAATAGATTGTGGAGATACAACTTGGAAAAGGTATTAAAAATAAGGAAAAGAAATCTAGAGGGAAATAGATGGCAGGAAGTGAAGGAATGGGCAAATGAAATGAAACATGCATTCTAGTGCTGGGGAAGGACGGGACATCACGGTGATCGATTGTCTCCAAGTGACAGATTCTTTGGAGACAGAAAGGTGCCTCAGCAAGATTGAGTTTAACTAAGTGAGCAGATCCACAGTGGGCCTCTAGCCATAAAACAGACCTGCCAAACTGCCTTTGATTCATTATGAGTTTAAAAAGCATGCAAAATATTTTTACTTTTTTTTTTTTTTTTTTTTAATTCGGGAAAGAATAAACATAAATAATACAGGAGAAGACTGAGTTCAGCAATATGGCAAGTGGCACCCACCTGAATCCTGATGAATCTGAGACTAGGGCATGGGGGATCAGGTCCATGTGGAGTGAGACTGGGGACAAATCATAACATTCAGGGAAGAAAACTTTTATCTAAGTAGCTGGTTATTGCTGTGCCTGTAGAGCTCGTTATGTCTGTCTTCTAGAGACAGAATCTCTCTGCAGGGCATTTGCACAGTACCTTTTCTGCGGTGTCTGAATGCCAAAACTTGATTTTAGGACAACAGAAATGACTATGTGGGACTAAACAAGGGGGAGGGGAAGGTGCCTATCTTATTAAATAACCATTTTTGATAGTGGACATCATTTGATGCTCAGGGACGATAATGTAAAAGACCATGCAAGATAATCAGCCACCACATTGGGTTTCATCTTGACCTGAAAATCAGAGTATAGATTAGACCCTGAAGCCTGAGGTTAAACCACCCTTGCAGAAATGCCATTAGCAATAGCAGTTAAACAAAGATAGTTCTGTCATCCAGTCTGTGCATGAAACTTTTAAAATCCTTGTCTTGGTGGCTATGAGTCCCACAGTGTAATAAATCACTTCACTGAAAAAGCATTTCCTATGAATTTGCTGTCTAATATAATAAAATATCTCTTGAATGTCATGTCCCCTTTTTATGTGTCTCTGCAAATTTTAAATTATTTTACTTCCTGCAAGAGTCAGGCTATTGTTTAATCTTTAAAAGCTTCTTGCCTGATTTTCAGACGTGCTGAGCACCCACAAATGGAGTCAGTGGGCTCTGTAAATGTTCAAGATCTTTTTAAGATCAAGGCATGGTTCTGATGCTTAGCCAGGTCAATGATGCCATTGATTCGAGCCCATTTGATGTAACGGATTTCCCAATTATCAGACACTGCAGGATCACACCTTGAGAGTGTGTGCTTCATAAAGGGATACGATATCTGCTCTGAAGAAACATTTAAAGAATTAAACTCAAAAATTAGTCCAAACCCCAGTTGCTCATTCTCCAGCTAACAACTTACCTTCTGCAGCTCTAAGTAGTATTTAATCTTCTGAAAAATAATTACTTCTTGCAAACACGTTACCAAGAACAGCACAAGATTGGCTGAGAATCCATATGTTACAATTACTGGGTCTTGCTGTGGTAATGTGGGTGGGCTGAAGGCTGAATTTTTAAATAAAAGATGCACAGGGAAAGAGCAAGGGTGCAGTTGAACCAGCCTGTAGCGCTGAGACTGTTCTGTATCTGAACTTACTCATTGGAAGTAAAATATTTTGCTTATAAAGAATTTTCATAAACATGTCTTCGGATGTGTATTAGAGGTACGTCTTAGGATGTGCATTAGGAGTAAGCTAAACAAGATGGTATAAACACAGGAATGGCTCTGTAATAGGAGAATAAATGGCCTGCCTCTGCTTCCTGCAGCAGCCCCTGCGGAGGCTGCGCGCCCGGCAGAGCCCTCGGCTGGAGCGAGGAACCCCAGGAGATCAATCCCCCCGCCTGGGCGTTCGGGGCTTAAATCTGCGAAACGCCTAAATATAGACGTGCGTGGCTAATTTCAGGATCCCATTTTTAAAATGTCTTTAAATTGCAACCACATCTAACCTATCTTCAGCTAAAATTAAAAAGGGCAGACCTACCTCGAGGAACGTCTCGGTGCCAAAAATATCTAAAAGTTTCTCAGGCAGTGGAAAGAACAAATTAAAGAGAACAAGGAGATTTTATTGGGTTTAACATTAAGCATTTATCCAAAGTGTCCTGCCAGATTTTGAAAGGTATTTAGGCACTGAGAGGTACAGATGCACATGTAAGAGGACTTTCAAAAGAGTCTGAGCAGGTCAGGGGACCAATTCCCACTCAAATTCAGAAATACCTCAAAATGAGTTTCCCTTTATATTTATCATCCAGTCTTGATTCCCATTAAACCCTAATTTAGGCAAACCTCAGCTAGAAAAATCAGATGTTCAGCATTTAAAATCTGGTAGATGTCTAAATATAGATGCAAATGCCTAATTTGAGACTTCCACTAAACTTCTGTTTAAAACTACTATCACATCTAACCTATATAAAAACAGAAATCCACACTGAATAATAATAATAATTGAATTCAAATGCTTTCATCCAGATAAAGTGCAGCAATTGAATTAAAATCTACAAGGATTTTTGGAGCCAGGGTGGACAGTATAAGTTATAATCTAGTTTATGGTATAAAGTACTAATTATATGTCCATGGTATTCATCAGACTAAAATATTTCCTGTGTGATGTAAAAAAAGTATGGTAAAGATTAATTTAATTATGCATTTTATAGATGAAATTATGTTTCTAATATTTTGTAACTAACAATAACTTTAAAGGGCAACTGTAAATATATAGTATTTTGGAACCTTAAGAGATTAAAATAAATAACATATGGACCAAAATAATGTGTGAGGCCTGGATTACAGTTTTGCTAACGTCACTTTTAGAGGTATAATACTTCACTGACAAATAAGGCCAGCAAAAAAGCCAGCTCAATATAAACTCTGAAATATTGGCCAGAAAAGGACTTTTTACTGGTGAAAGTGGGCAGTCATGTAAGCTAAATTGACAAAAAGCCAATACTTTTTGTGCCGGTGAGGCTTGACAGTACCAAAGCAGTCAGGTTTCTGGCATTGCTATATTAGCAAACCTGTGAGGAATAACTGACTGCATTTCTCAGCTGTCAGCACTACCCACTGAAAGGCTACAAAATAAATTAGAATATTTCCAACTATTTTATCTAACTTTCATCTTCCTGCTTGCAACTCTGTCATGATATTTTGGAACAAGGTGCATGATTGAATCTCTGTGCCTTGGCAGCATCTGTGGGATGTGGCCTCCCCTCCCAACGGCAAGATCTGCTCTGAGTCCCTGAAGCTGGTTCTGTGTGGAAAGATGAACTCCAGTGAAGTTATAGCAAAGATAAACATCCCTATGCCTCTTTCTCTGCCTCTTTCCCTGCCTCATCTTCAAATGGGAATTAATGTTGTTACCTCATCACAAGCAGCTCCTAGGTGACATATGACAAACACATTAGAGGAGGGGCCGTGCTAAAAAAACAACAAAAAGTTTGCTTTCTTGGCGGAGTAATTAATTTTGATGATTATTTTTTGAAACGGTGGCTCTGCTCTGTTCTCTGCCTGTGGATAGGTGTTAAATTATTCCTGTGAGAAGGGCAGCAGCAGCTGTGGAAACCATTCAAGCTCTAATAGCACTGCTGCGGTGTCCCTGCTGAAAGCCCCACCATGTAATGAGCAGAGGCAATTTCCATGTGACAGTAAACAAAGAATACCTATGTGAAGATAGTCCATGTGAAGACACTCTGTCCAACCTTTTTTTTTTTTTTTCTTTTTTTACCCATTCCCCTGTTTATTTTGTGGCCTCAGCCTGATTAAGGTCCCTTTTTTGTGTTTCTGCTTGGTCTCGTAGGCTGCATCACTAACAACTTGGTGCTATTTAGTTTTATTTGCTCTTAAAATGAACAAGGCATTCTTAGGATGTGTTATGTGATACTACTGTTTTGTTACTTCCCCTGGATAATAAACAGTCTGGAAATTAATGATTTATAAAGAGTTAGTGTTTGTGTGACAGAAACTAGGACAAGTGGCTTGACTCAGATCCCACTTCTGCCTGTGACTCCAAATATTTTAGATGATTCACCTCTGATTTGCATTTATTCAGAATCCTGCCCAATGCACTTCTTTTAACATGTATAAGTCAAACGAACATTTAGCACCAATGTAATGGCTACTGATGAAGGAACCTAGTGGAAGTCATAGCTATATTTTCTTTGCAATGAAATACATACACAGCTGAATTATATTAGAGGGAGACAATTCTGCATGGTAAACTCCAACCGGGCCTTGTTTGTTGTACAAATAAGCTTCAGCCCTCCAGGATTTAGGAAGACAGAGTATCAGCCCCTTGCACAATGCTGCTGGGAAGCGATTCTCCCATGGGGTCAGTCATCAGCTGCACATTGCAGGCTATGACTAACCTTATCTGCGGAGTCATGTTACGGTGACTTTTGAGGCAATTGTGGTTTCCAATAATCCAGGACTCCCTCCACGCTGTTTCTTCCATGCACCACAGTCCTTCCTGTGCTGTCCCATCTAGTTGTGAAATCAGTCTGTGATTCAGTTCAGGGAACTGATTCAGCTTAAAAACACACATACACAAAAACAAAGGATGGAAAGTCAGCTCGGGATGGGAACTGGGAAAGATGCAACAGGGCAAGAACACTCTAAGCCCTTTCGGCCATGAAGCCATGGTCACAGATGCCACAGCTCAGTCTGCGGGTTTTGGACTTTCTCAGTAGTTATCAGGTTGTGTCAAACATAGTGAGGAATATACTGCCTGGCACATAAGGCTTGATCATGCAATAAAACTTAATTGTTTATTAACTTAAGACAGCATTTACACTGAGAAGATGAACTTACTAATATCTGAACACATTCTCAAGTGCAATTGCCTTGGACTTTATTTAGCTCTCATTGTACAAGTTTGCCCCCACACATATACCCTATTTAATGTAAAGATACTCAAATACACCCTTAATAAATAAACCTGAGTAATATTAGGTTATGCAACATAAGATTTTAAGATCACTGTTAAAAATCAAGCATTGATGGGAATGGCTGCTGCTCCAGCTGAATTTTGGAACAACTCTGTAGACTGAGAAAAGAGTCCTTTTTTTAAACCGTGCACCTGCACAAGTGTCATTAAAAATCCAAACAGAAATACTAGAAAACAGTTCTCATGTGAACTCGCCAACACTCTCATGATACAAGTATAACTCCTGGGCAGAGCACGTGGGATATATAACACCCTCAAACAATGGGCTTTTGTTAATGAGCTCAGGAGAGACTCCAATATAATTTACCATACAATGGTGCAGTGTAAGGGATGTGCAAATCCGTAAACAACCCCCCGTCAGTGTTTTGTGGTTTTGAAACAGCACAGTAAGATCACATAACCTAAACTGCAGATGTAGGGAGAGAACAGACATATCAGCCACCCCCAGCTCAATTACTGAGACTCTGGGTCGATGTCTTTAAAATACCTCCAGTGTCATGGATCAGTGGCTTTGGGAAAAGGAATAACGTGATGGTGTTATGTGTGGGGTTTTGCTCACATTCGCCTGCAAGTGCTATGTAAGGCTTTCATGGAATTTCTGAGAATTGCATATGGATAGGAGTCCCTTGACTCATTGCTGTTTTCTGCAGAGGACTTGACTTGGGAAGGCACACCTTCTCAAACTTAGAGGTTTTGGTAGCAAAGTGCATCGGCAGCTTGAGAATGGAAAGATTGAAAGGTGCTATGAACATTGTAAATTGTTACTATATTTTTCTAAAAGATTAATGTCAGCTCCTCAAGAAAAGGGCATGTCTACAGGCTGCTAATTTATTACAAGTAAAGCTTGGTTTAATAAACTTGTGGTAAATATTTTCTGCTTTTAAGACCCTTTAAGGCTTCAAAGGCTCCCATTTGCTTTAGGGTCCCTAGGGATGCTGGTGCCAATGAGACATGTTTCATTAATTATGTTGCACAAATAAGCTAAATATTGCAGAAATGTGTGTAGCAATGTTGTGAGGAATGCAGCAAGGACTCTTCCTAACTTCACACAGAGCAGGGCCGCCCAGCTGGGTGCTCTTCTGGAGGACAGTTAGGGCCTGAAGCACATGCTGGGGTCCCATCCACACCCCCAGATTTTATCATTACTGTTTAGGTCAGCACAAAATTGCCAGTAGTTTTCCCTCTGGAACTCACAAACATCAGGCTGTCTTTCCCGGTGCATGGCCCTGCTAAAATAGGAATAGAAGGGAAAAAACATGCTGCAGAGATATCACAGATCCCTCATATCTTGTTGGGTTGGGGATTATGAAAATATTGTGAGTTACCAGAGGATAACAGGGTCTGTCATTGAGTTCCCATAAGCCTTCTTTGCCTGGACAAGGTCGAAAGTGGGCTATCTTGCTGTGCAGAGCCTTCAGGTGAGGTGTTCCTGGGTCAGGTCCAGAGCTGAGGTCCTTTGGTGCTGGAAGATGAAAACATCAGTGCTGTGAGCAAGTATGATGCGAGGAGATACACTGAAGTAAAACCGAATATATCAGGGAAAGCGAATAACCAGAGATATTTCACAGTCATCAGTAAAAGGTCACTGAAGCCACACAATGATTGCACCTTTCAGAAAGATTGTTGGAAGAGCCACAGACAAAGATGAGTTTCCCAGAGGGTCACACTGGGATAGAAACCCTTATTTTGATTCTCACCTTACATTTCTGCTTGCGTAACTCACACATAGACTGGCAAAAAGCTGCATCTTGTCTGAGCAGGTGAAAGCCCCATGTTAAACAGGCAGTTGATAACTGAAAGGCCAGAGGTAAACACTTGACCAGTCTCTAAACCAACTATTCTCACAATTTATATTTTCCTGCTAGCTGAGAGAAAAATTATCAAGAGCTCTGTGATAATTGGAAAATGGGAAGATGCTGTTTGACTGGCTGGACACAAGAGCAATTACAAAAGCACGCTGAAGTACTTACAGCCGAGGGAGACCCTAAGAGCATACGTTGACAGTGTGCCATATGTCAGGACGCGTGCTGCTTTATATTACTCGGTGCAGCTTTGTGAAGGAACTGTACTTGGCTTGTATATGAATTTTAAATGAATTGTTAACACATTTTATGAATCTGGTAAAGGGGTGCTGATGTGGGAGAGCGCACATGTCTGTTCTGCAAGATGGAGTAAATAAATCATGACTTTCACAAGATAAAACTTTATTGAGTAGCAATAAACGACAGAAATACTTCTAACAGCATTTAAAGCCATGTAAAAGAAAGCACGAAGGGCTGATTGCCCCCGAGTATGTGTGCTTGTAACAGCTTGTGTTGCAGTGATGGGAGAGAAGGTGATTTGCCAGACGAGCACTGGCTGTCACACACAGGCTGTCATGCTGTAACTCCCTGGGTCTTTGGTCCATAACATCTTTCAGCACCTACATTTGTTGCTCACAGTATCTCCAACATTTTGGTGCCTTTCCCTAGACATAATCCTTGTCTCGCTCTGCCTTTCCCCACCGTAAATTCCTCTGCTCTTTTGTCCTGAGGGCAGTTTTGGACCAGAGGACACATCATCTGTGCCACCCTCCTGCCTGGGTTCACACTCTGAGCAGGTGGGGGAAGTTGTTCTCTAGAATAACACACTCAAGGCCATCAGGGATCCGTAAGCCAAAACCAGGCTGAAAAATGGTCAAAAAAAAAATCCCACAATTTTCTCTTAAAGTTCTTCATAAGAATACCTTGACTCAGTGCATTTTGGCCATTTGTATTGGGGCAGGTAAGAGCGGCCAGGTAGGTCCTCTGCTGTAGAGCATGGACTCTAGAGCACCGTGGGCAGGATTCTGTTTACATCTTGTTTGTTCTTTTCAGCAGCTCTGTTCACAAAGCATTGGTATATGCTGCTAGAAGCCCATCTGCCTGTCTTGTCCTGCCTTGTCATGGTGGCTTTTAGTGTTTGCTTTTGTCTAAGACTATCACTACTTTTTTGTTTGTTTGTTTTTTAATAAACCAGCTATTTAAAAAAGTACTTTATCGTTCTCTGTTTCAATTTGTTTCTTTGTCATTTAGAGAAGAAAGAATAAGAGGTCTGTGGAGGTGGTATTCTGGAGAACATAGTATGTACCTGAATGTCTTTCCCTTCTTCACCGGGTTGTGTGTCTGAGTTTGTCTGGGTCTCCAGGAACCTGTGGGTCTCTTTTGAAAGCACATCAGCTGACCCTCCAGCCTTCAACAGGCTCCTCATCATGGAGTTTGCTCCAGAGATTCCTGCCTTCCAGAAACACAAAGCTTGTAGGATCAGTCACAAGACAGACACTGTCTGGGTTGGTACCCAGAGTCCCACCTTTACTCACATTGGCTCTTCCTCTGCAACACACTCCTGCCTCTGCACTTCTCAGGGAACATCTCTCCCCTGCAAATTTGGCTCTTTCTCTGCTAAGGAAATTCAGGAAGATTAGTTCTGCCCTAGGTGGAAGCTGGAGGCCCAGTTGCAGCTTGAAATGAAGCCACTCTGGTCTGCCTGCAGAGCTGCACGAGGAATTACAAGGCAGACAAGCAATGTAATACTGGGAAATGACAGAAAGCCAGAACTGATTTCCACACACTATGAAGGTGGACAGTAGGAGTAAAAATTTGCACCAGAGTATTTTCTGTCATTTCTCTGGAGTGCAGTTAGTACCAGAAGGTAATGAAAAGTCCATACAGAAACTTTGTACATTAAACCATCTTGATACAGACCTAGTGCTATTTTAGAGGCCATTTCATTTGACCATCAGGAATATCAACTTTTACTGGTGAAGCCAAGTGTGGATATATGCAAAGATACCTCCACTGCAGACATATTTCACCAGTCAGGCCTGGTAGGCCTGCCCTTTTAAAGAGCTTAACTTGAAATACGACTACAGTGATGGCATTCAAGTTAAGATATTACAATGAGACAGCACAGATCTTCTTAATCAGGGGATTAACCTGCAGAAGGATTTTTTCCCCCAATATCGAGTCAGAGATACTTATCTAAATTTACCCAAACAGCTTTGACTTCAAAATCTTATGTAAACAGGTGTTTATAAAGTGAGAAATATCACCCTGCTTTACCCCAGCACTGTCGGATTTATCAAGAAAGAGTTCACCAAATTTGTAGGTGCAGTGGTGACCCAGTGAAGACAACGGCAACACTTCCACTGCACTCAACAGGACCAGAATTGCAGTCTGTAATCTGTGAAATTAGCATTCTCAAGATTTAGGTCTCTGGTTTGATTTTGCTCTAGAGCTACAATCTGATCTACTGTCTCTTCACTCTTTATGGATATTAGGATAATCATAATTTGTCAAAATTAGGCAATGAAAAAAATAAAAAGTTGTCTTATACAAAGAAACAGGCAACATCATTTTATGCTCCCAGGGAAAGCTGGCACTTTACAGACTCAGATTTCATACAACTATTCCCTTAGCCCAGCTCAGCACTTAATAAAGATGAGGAGTTTCCATCATGCCAAAAGTTTCTTGGTTCTCAGAAAACCCCCCCTTCAACCTTCAACCTCAGCGATACCCACAGAGCAGACAGATGAATGTTTCTTCTCAGTAAAAAAAAAAAGTTTTGTAGAGTAATAAAGTTTTTTAAAAAAGTTACTTGCCTGATGATTGATCCCTTTTGGCTGAATGTGAAGTGGAATGAAACCTTTTGCAATGGGACAGTCTTACTTTCCCTCTAGTGCACTCACTGCAGACTGCAGCCCAATAAATCCGTTCTTCAGTGAATCCACAATACCACCAGCTGATCAAGGCTCAGCTGAACACTGTATGCTCAGTGATGATATAGCAGAGACTTGAGATAAGTGACTTTATATATACACATGATGGTAATCCCTCTCCATCTGGACATTTTAAAAACATCTTGATATAGAATTAAAACAGAGAGATGTGAAAAGAGGTGAAATTATTCAGGATATACAATGGAGGAATTTTATTACCAAGCTGACTGTATTATAAATCAAGTGCTCTGTAAATGCAATAAAACAATTGTTTAGTCTGCATGATTCATACCACAAACCTCAGTATTCTGTGTTTTGATCTTATTGCAGCAATAAACTGTCTAGACAGCAATTAACAAACTGTTTTTTCTTCAGATGTTTGGAGTGCCTTTGCTGCCTGATCAGCACTCAGAAATACAGGGCTTTTTCTCTATTCCTATTAATTATCAGGTTGATCAAGAAGCATGGTTAGCCATTCTCTGTAATTGTACAACATTTCTCTTTAAGTGAATTGCTATAGGAATAGTACTGATAATATTGTTTTTCATTAGTACTAAGTAGCTAAGATAAAGATTTATTTTACCATGATGCTCTAGAATGAGCTTTAAAGTATAATTTATATTGAGCAATAGCATGCCATTTTAGGCCCCGATTCAACAAACTGCTTACGCATGTGCCCAACTTGAAGCATATAAGTAATCCCAGGAGAACTTGTGCATTTACATTTTGGTGCGTGCCTCCATACTTTGCTGAATTATAGCCAAATAATTGATCCTTCATATGTAGGTAACCCTTATCTTTTCACACAATAAGTGGAGCAGATGTGTTGTGTTTTGGTCTTAAGCTTAACGGCTTACCAGTGGGAGGTAAGATGGAAGGCATCCTGAAGCCTAGGACAGCTTTGGGGGAAAAAAGATGCTCAATCAGATAGGTTCTTCACATACTCATTTCACATACGTGATATGATGAAGCCTTTAAAAACTGTAATATAACTACACAGTTTTACAGAAAGGTAGAGAGAACCGATTTCCTGTGGTGGCTTGTGCAGGTGAGCCCCTCCTTTTCATGAGCAATTTAAGGTGCGAGAGGCATTCACTCCGCAGCCAAACCAAGGGCATCATGGGCTGCAGTACGTTTGTTCAGCACAAACACCGAGGCTGTAAACGTACGTGCCTGCGTGTGTGTTTATGATCATAAAGCAGAGAGTGACTCAGCACACGTCATCTCCCTCATACGGCTCCTTGCTTTGGGAGGTTGATGCAACTCTATAAAAATTTACAGGGGATGGAAACAAACGGTCCCCGATTTTCGCCTGGTGTAAAAGAGGGGCGCAGCGGTTTGCGGGTGCCCGGGGCATCCGCGGCGCTTCTTGGGGGTGGAGGAGCCGCTCCGGGCCGGGAGGTGCCGCGGGGCCCGGCGGCCGCTGCCCCGGCCCTTGCTGGACAGCTCCCGCCGCCGGGCCGCCGTGGGACCGCCGGGATGGGGCCGGGATGGGGCCGGGATGGGACCGGGATGGGGCCGCCGGGATGGGACAGCCGGGATGGGACCGGGATGGGACCGCCGGGATGGGACCGGGATGGGGCCGGGATGGGGCCGGGATGGGACCGCCGGGATGGGGCCGGGATGGGGCCGCCGGGATGGGACCGGGATGGGGCCGGGATGGGACCGCCGGGATGGGACTGCCGGGATGGGACCGCCGGGATGGGACAGCCGGGATGGGACCGGGATAGGGCCGGGATGGGACCGGGATGGGACTGCCGGGATGGGACCGTCGGGATGGAGCCGGGATGGGGCCGGGATGGGACCGCCGGGATGGGACCGGGATGGGGCCGGGATGGGGCCGGGATGGGGCCGCCGGGATGGGACCGGGATGGGGCCGCCGGGATGGGACAGCCGGGATGGGACCGGGATAGGGCCGGGATGGGACCGGGATGGGACTGCCGGGATGGGACCGTCGGGATGGAGCCGGGATGGGGCCGGGATGGGGCCGGGATGGAGCCGGGATGGGACCGGGATGGGGCCGGGATGGGACCGCCGGGATGGGACCGGGATGGGACCGCCGGGATGGGACCGCCGGGATGGGGCCGGGATGGGACCGGGGCACAGAGCTCACCCGCAGATGAGGAGAAACAGCGTGGTAAATTCTGCTGGAGTGAGCTCAGATCTTCACGCAGCAGAGCTGCAGCTAAACGTCTAGTAGCAGCTGTAAGAAACATGTAGAAAAATTCAGCTAGGGAGCTCTGCTTTCTTTGGTTTGCAGAAATAATTCCAAGGGATTTGGCTGTAATTCTAAATCAATGACTAAATATGTGACAGGTCAAAAGCAAAATAAAGAAATTCAATTTGAAGCAGCTTTTCAGAAGTTAATTGAACAACTATCCTTTATAAAAAAAAACACACTTTTTTTTTTTTTTTTCTTTAAAGTGCTTTCTCTCATCTACTGTAGGCGGTGGAAAGGGGAATGAGGAAAAAAACAAAAGTGTACTGAAAAGAGGGGGAAAAAAACTATAGTTAAATCTAGTTTGAGTATCCTCAAAAGTAAAAAAATAATAAATCAGTTGAAATTGATCTTTTCAACTAATCTTACTGTGTTTCACAGTTTTCATTCACAGTTTTTTTGTTTGTTTGTTTGGGTTTTTTTTCCCCCCACAGTTCTGCAGTACTCTTCTGCATCCATGGAGGTAAAATATTTTATCTCAGTGCAAAAGAAAAGACTATGGGTCTGATCTTGATAAACAGTGTATAAGTCATACTTGCCATCCTTACCAGCAGGAACAATGCAAGTGGTATTTTTAAGTCACTGGCTGTATACAAAGACATGAAGAATACACTGAAACTTGGGAAGTTATTTCTTGAGCACTATGCTTTTTATGTCAAGTACTGCAAGGCATTTAATTTGGTAGTGATATCCATACTCCACAGTATCTTAAATCATTGATCTCTCAGTCAGTGGTAATGATAAGGTGACCAGTTTCAGTGCACTTGAGAGGGACTATATAAGTTTGATATTCAGATGCTGAGGAGTCCAAATGCCTCAATTATTCATTCATCTGTAGATGGTGACCCTAGTATTGCAAATATTTCTTTAAGTGCCTGTATTACAGCTTCCTTTGCTTTCCTGGGAATATTTGCAAAAAATAAGCACAGTCCTCTTGAAATTAGGAACAAGTTTCAGGGTTCATATTTAGATAATTTGTCTCTACAATGCAAGAATTTATATAAGAGGCTTAGCTGCCCTTGAAACATGGGTAGGTGTCCTAATTTTATTCTCCCCCAAAAGCCAGAAACAAAGAACCCAAAAGTTTTGCCATGTTCTGTTTCATTGAGCAACGTTACAGTAATGGGGGGACAAGGAAGATTCTGCAGATATAAGATGATATGCATCTTACAGGTTATTGACTGAATAATTGATAAATCCTGCTCACTGTAATTACAGTGGAGAAGTTTGGATGTGAGGATTTGTCAGTTATATCTGAAGGGGCAGGAGCAGATGTGAGGGGAAACTATTTAAGTGTGACTCTGGGAAGTGTGGGAACCACTGTAGGAGTCAATAAGTGCCCCATAATCCACTGATAAATACTTGCCAATACTTGCTATTTATGTTTAGTTTTTAACTTTCAAATAGTTAAAGAGTTGTACAGCATTTATCAAATCATTCTCTTGCTTTAGGTTTGGTTTTGGGTTCGTGTTTTTTATTTTTAGTTTTTTTTGTTGTTGTA